CCGCATCATCTTGGAGCAGGTCAATGAGTTCCAAGAGTCCCTGTACTTGGTATTCATGACGATACAGCCATGATCGAATCGTCAGCAACCATCAAGGCACTCCGGCGTAAGCAGCCCTTCCGAAAGCAGCAGTTCAAGCAAGAGATGGGGCACTCAGCGTCGAAACCAGGTAAGCCCGATGGAACTGGTCCAGCTACACCATGTTGGAACTGCGGCAAGCACAGGTGCAACGAAAGCGGCCAGTTTGGCCATCGGAAAGGCTACTGTTCCAGCGCAAGGAAAACCAGCAGCTCTTCGAAGCGGAAGAAATTCAAGCCAGTGGCAACCAAGACCGGCAGCGCTGGTGAGCAGCGTGAAGAAGCAGCGGAAATTCGTGACAGTGCAGTTAGGAGGGAAAGCGGTTAATCTTCAGCTCGATACGGCATCCGACATTAGCGTAGTTTCGGAAACGACGTGGAAAGAAATCGGTCAGCCACCGTTGAAGCCAGCAACGATAAATGCGTCTACAGCATCCGGTCATCCACTGAAGCTTGAGTCGGAGTTTTCGTGTGAGGTCTCGATAGGCGGGGTCACTCGCAACGGTCGATTTTACGTCGTAAAGCAACCGTTGCATCTGTTGGGCATCGATCTTATCGATACATTCAATCTGTGGTCGGTCCCAATAGAGCATTTCTGCAACCAGGTCAGCAGTTCTCCATCAAACATCGACGCCCTCAAGCAAGCGTTTCCCTTGACATTCTCCAACGCACCGGGGTTGTGCACGAAAGCGAAGGTCCGGTTCAGCCTGAAGGAAGGGCAGACTCCTGTGTTCCGTCCAAAACGGCCAGTCGCCTACGCAATGTACGACACGGTGAATCAAGAGCTGGATCGACTGGAACAAGCAAACGTCATCACACCAGTCGAGTACTCCGAGTGGGCTGCACCGATAGCTGTGGTCCGGAAGGCGAGCGGTGCCATACGAATCTGCGGTGACTATTACAGCGGGCTGAACGACGCTCTCCAACCGCATCAATATCCGCTTCCTCTCCCACAGGACATCTTTGCAAACCTGGCCAATTGCACAATTTTCAGCCAAATTGACCTGTCAGACGCCTACCTGCAAGTCGAAGTAGACGAAGCCTCAAGAGATCTGCTAACAGTAAACACGCATCGGGGCTTGTACCGCTACAACCGATTGCCGCCAGGAGTGAAAGCAGCACCTGGAGCGTCTCAACAACTGGTGGACACCATGCTGATCGGACTCAAGCATACCTCAGGTTACATCGATGACGTGATTGTAGGAGGAGTGGATGAAGCGGATCACCAACGAAACCTGCAAGCAGTTCTTCGTGTGAAGTGTTCTTTTGGGTAGCGACAAATAAAGTACCTTGGGCATCTCATCGACGGACGAGGATTGCGACCGGATCCAGCTAAAATCCAAGCCATCCGGGAATTGCCAGCTCCTACGGATGTGGCCGGCGTTCTCTCGTTCCTTGGGGCAATTAACTATTACGGTAAATTCGTCTCAGGAATGCGGACTTTGCGATATCCTCTTGATGAATTGTTGAAGGCCGGCAAGAAGTTTGAGTGGACGTCGGAATGCCAAAAATCCTTCGATAAATTCAAGCAGCTTTTGTCATCTGATCTCTTGTTGACGCACTACAATCCAGAGCTGTCGATCATTGTTTCGGCTGATGCGTCTTCAGTGGGAGTTGGAGCTACATTGAGCCACAAGATGCCCGATGGATCCGTCAAAGTCGTGCAGCTCACTTCTCGTGCACTAACACCGGCAGAGCAAGGGTACGGTCAACCAGATCGTGAAGGCCGTGCGATCCTGTATGCGGTTACCAAGTTCCACAAAATGTTGTACGGTCGCAGCTTTCTCCTTCAAACAGATCACGCTTCTCTTCTCCGTATCTTTGGGTCAAAAACGGGAATCCCCGTCTTCACGGCAAATCGTCTGCAGCGGTGGGCGTTGCAGCTACTGCTCTACAACTTCAAGATCGAGTACGTCAACACAGAGAAGTTCGGGAACGCGGACGTTCTTTCTCGACTCATCGCCCGCCATGCAAGACCTGATGAAGATTTCGTCGTAGCCAGTGTCATCCTCGAGGAGGACTTGAGGTCAGTAGCATCCAATTCTATCAAGTTCGTTCCTCTCAGTTTTAGGACAGTACAGCAAGCCACCCAGACTGATCCAGTATTTAGCAAGGTCTACCGGTTCGGGCAGCAGGGCTGGCCGAAGTCCAGGTTGGCCATTGCCGATCAAGTTCAGAAGTTCTACGGCCGTCAAGACTCGTTGTTGGTTGTCCAACTTGGGTGTCCGGCTCAATTTCGAGGTAACCCCGGAGTCCAACGCATGAAGGCAATAGCTCATAGCTACGTTTACTGGCCTTCAATCGACGCCGACATCGCAGCATTCGTCTAGACTTTCCGTCAGTGCGCATCAAAACCGTGGCCAAAGTCAACCCAACCGTGGCAACGCGTACACATTGATTACGCTGGACCACTCGAAGGTGATCATTTTCTACTAGTCGTCGATTAAGTGGATCGAAATCGTGAGAACCAAAAGCATCACCTCATTAGCCACGATTGTCATTCTTCGGAGTATTTTTGCACGTTTCGGAATGCCCACCACTCTGGTTAGCGACAACGGCGTGCAGTTCACGAGCGCCGAGTTCAGCTGTTTTTGCCTTGACAACGCTATCGACCACATAACCACGGCGTCCTATCATCCGCAGTCCAACGGGCAGGCCGAACGCTTCGTCGATACGTTCAAGCGGGCAATCCGGAAAATACGAGAGAGGAGAGGATACATCCAGGTAGCCCTCTGCTAACCTATCGCACCACACCGAATCCCTTAGCTCCCGATGGTAAATCACCAGCGGAAGTCATCTTCGGACGGCCAATTCGGACGTGTCTGGAATTGTTGCGTCCTCCAGTGGCCCGATCAGAAGCAACCAACAATCCAAAAGCCAAACTACGATCGTTCAGTAAGGGATATCTGGTGTACGCCAAGGTCCACTCCAACAACATCTGGAGATGGGCTCCTGCTGTGGTGCTAGAACGAATCGGAAGCACCATGTACAACGTTTGGGCTGAAGACCGACGACTATTGCGGTCACATATCAACCAGTTACCAAACCGATCAACGTCAACCAATGCGTCAGTCGACGATGCATCCAGCCAAGCCTGTCGGCGAACAACTTCCGCTGGATATTCTTTTGGGAGAATTGAACCTTAAACTTCCCGAAAGTCCAACATCGCCATATGTTAGTCCGACACTTTTGGAACCTTCGACATCGCAGAACAAGTCTTTGCTTGGTGAACCATCAACGCAGTCAACACCATTGGTACATCCTACCGATGAATCAAGACGACAAGAACGTGTATCGGTCTCACCACCGTCAGCCGATCGTTCGAAAACGTCTACAACTACGTTGGCATCAACCACGTCTTCATCCGGTGCCACCAGTTCCAAGACAACGTCGCTTATTGGTTATTCTAATATGATGATTGCGTTTAGCGCTAATTTACAGGATACCCTTTTAAGGGCTTGTTTTCGCATGAATTTAAAAATTTGATAACCTACCTACTTGAGCACAGGAACCTGCCTAAATACTTGAACTAGGTTGCCAAATCACGAATGATCTGGTGGTTTGATCGCAGACATTTGACTCTAAACCTATCCAGCGTGGACGTCTTTCGCTCCTCGAGTGTTGAATCTCAGAATTACGAGTTCGCGGTGGACTGTTAAGGATCATTCTGAGGATCTTGTTTTGGATCCTCTGAAGCTTTAGGTGGTGGCACTTAGCACAACTCTCGCAGATTGGCATACCATACTCAAGAGCCGGCAGAATGATCTGCTTGTGAACAGCAAGCTTGTTTTTGAGGGACAGGGTGGTCTTCTTGGTCGATGTCTTGTCCACATGGGATCGGAATAGCAATTTGTAATCGAGGCTGAGACCAAGGTAGACTTCTTCACTCAACCATTCAATGGGAGTGCCATCAAGATGGATATTTACGTTAGCTTAGCTGCATTGATACAAATCTTCCATCTCTTGAAATAGTCGGACAGAACATCCAGGCCTGATTGTAGTTTACTCGTTTAGTGGTGGCGCAACAGCAGTGCTCTTTTATAGCTTTACAGGTTCAAGCAGAAAGATGCGCAACCAAATGGTACTCGATTTTTTCATGAAAACAGTGATAAAATTATCACTTTTTATTTGAACATTTTTCAAAACCTTTAAAATGAAAATTTTAAAAAATATGTGTTTCAGCAGATTTTTATAGTTATTTTCTATCGATTGATGTGTTTGGAATTTAATTCTATCTATAAACGACAAAGTTATAAGCGTTCAAAACCTAACACCTTTTCATGATGGTCGCAATTTGAGATTTTTGATTTACCACCTGCACCTTTACGTAAGACGTAGTCTCTGTCAAAGAGGGTAAGCTTTGCGTTAATGCGGGAAGCAGTGAGTGATTTTAAATTACATGCTGTACACTTGACATCCATCCTCTTTAAGCGTACCTCTTGATAACCACAATCCTCAATCCAACAAAGAAAACACAAATACATGAAATTGCAAATAAATGACCATATTGGATGGCAAACAAAAGGAAAAGCAAACAAATGCGGAAGCAAACATTTGCATCCGATAATTAGCTATATTGCCAGGCCTCAGGCCAAACGGTGCAATTTTCCCGAGTGAGCATCAACTGATGCGTCGTCGATTAATCCCATCAAAGCTCACGCTTCCCCGTAAACCACCGTCGCCGCAGGATTGCACTTTTAATCATATCTGTGCACGGCTGATTCTGACTGGAGCTTACGAAATCAATCAATCCGTTCACATTACACAATGTATCCATATTGATCACCATTCGATTGCTCGCTCGACGACGAGTTTAATTAGTTTAATTGAATATCGATTGCAACTCGAGTGCAGCCAGTGATTAACGCAAATGAACACTTACGATAGGTCATCAGCGACCAGTCGAACCGAAATGCAACTCACCTTCGTCCTTATCGCTCATGAAGGAAAAGTGCACCCCGTTGTCGCTGTTGGAGAGCACCCGCACCTGGGGGTAGTTTTCGTCCGCCGTCTGCAGCGCGCTCCGTTCGTACAGATCGAATATCCGGGCGATACATTTCACCTGCAAAAGGAAAATAAAAGCACAAAACGAGAAACTTTCCGTTAGTTGGTGGCTTTTTGCTGGTGGCGGACGAATTTCAGCATCCGGGAAAAAGTGGTCTCGAGAAAGGTCAATTTTCGTGATGATGGGGGTGGAACTCATTCGAAATGATGAAGAGAGCGAGTTCATTAGTACTGGGAACCGATACCCTTTTCGGTAGATTTGTGTGCATAGGGGTTTCCTGCTTAGTAGAGAACAAGTACAAACCTCGCAGTCTGATAGGAAAAATGAAATATCTCATTCAAACAAACATACAACCCCCAAAAGCGACGTCCAAAAACAGCAAATTTATCACGAACGAAACAATTCAACCTCTTCCCCGATCCCTGCACTCAACCGCAAAAGCCAACAAAAAGCTCGAAAAACAATTTTTCAATCATAAAGTGAAGGATATTTGAGCTTACGAGCTCAATTCCAGTCTCAACTGAACCCGGGCGACGCACGACCACTCACTCTGCCACATCACACTCACATATCATCATTATTTTCCTCCAAATCATAAATTTTATTCCTCCATTATTTCTTCTGCCAAACGAACCCCATCACCATTCAACTGCCATCCATCGGAATGCTTTTTTCACCCCAACAATTCCCAACCCTCACCAGCACCGTCGTCGTCATCAATACGACGACGACGACGACAACAACGGCGACCATGAATGGCGATGCTTGTTCGCTCGTTCGCTCGTTTTTTTTTTATATAAATACCTACCCCACCTACATTCATGCCAAGCCCTTAAGCTGTGCGAATTTTTTTATTCGTATTTGCACGACTGAAATTTCTCACTGTCATTTGTTGACAGTAAAAGCATTGCCATGTTTATTCACATTCCTAGTATATGCGGTGGGTATTGTTATTTTACCTTTTCGGTCCACCTCACCTCCCATGTGGTTGTCGAAATAAATCGAACCCCACGCTCTCGGTTTGATACTGCGCCCTCATGGGGGTTTACCATTGCGGGAGGAGAATGAGGTAGGGATGTTTAAGTTGTTTTAATTATTGTTTTCGGTTTCTGTGGGTGTGGGAAAAAACAGGGATTCTCCCTCTTGTCGATATCCATTTAGTTACTGATGCGGTAACGCACAGTGCAAAATGGGTTTTTCTGTGTGCGGTTTGCAATAATGGACAATTTTAACAAAGGCCATTACCGATTTTTCGGCCCACCGCAGCAGCGCGCCACAGGATGTTTATCTGTGCTGAGTTGAGAATAATGGGACATTTAATTCGAATCTGCGAACCATACAGCTTCCAACCTGCATACCTGTGCGGGAACATATTTGCAATATTTATTTTTTTTAAATAGGAGGAATCAATATTTAACTATTGAGATCACTGGGAATCTGGTAACCCGGCTCAGCAAATGTCATCAAAGTTGAATTATTGTGTCACTTTTCAATTACTACTATTACATTCAGGCTAGGGACGGGTTGTCCTGTGCTGTACGATAAAGTCGTCTCCATTCCACTCGATTCATAGCCAGCGGTGGAAGTATTCCAGATTTATCTGGATTTTTCAGATTTTCAGATATCAGACACACAGACAGCCTCGACAGAACTGAGACTATCCGTAAAAATAAAATAATGATCTGGTACAAGTGAGGCGATCGTTTCTAGCGTATAGATATGGCCGCCAGCTCAGCAATATACACGGAACAGGGAGCTTGAAGCATTCGAGAGGCGCTATGAAATTCGTTATAAATACCAAAACCAGCGGACGCCTCTATTAATGATCCATCTGTGAAGAACGATCTTGCGGAATCAACTTGGCCAAACTTTGCAGCGAAAATTGACGGAGCAATCATGGAACGATGATGCTCTGGGATTCCGCGAATCTCTTGCGTCATGGATAAATCAAAATGAACAGAATTGCCGAAGTCGGAGAAGCAGACACGATAGGGATTATGCTGGGAAGGGCTGACATCCTGTGTTATGTAAAGGGTGATACGGTCAAAATTTGGTCAAGGGAAAACGCGTGTAAATCGGTGAAATCGTTTATTTAAAAAATCAAATTAAATTTCTTTTTCAAGTTCAATTAGTATAAAATTCAGGAAAAATATTCAGTTAGGCTTCCGCTTTTCCAAATCCGAATTGCCGGGCCTTACGCTTGACCCCTGCCATCAGATTTTGTACAGCCACCTTGTCCACCTTCTTCGCCGCAGAAAGCCAGTTTGCCTTGAACTGCTGCTCGCCCTTAGCAGTTTTTTTGGTCTTCTTTAGGTTCCGCTTGACAATAGCCCAGTATTTCTCAATTGGGCGGAGCTCTGGCGTGTTGGGAGGGTTCTTGTCCTTGGGAACCACCTGCACGTTGTTGGCGGCGTACCACTCCATGGCCTTTTTACCGTAATGGCAAGATGCCAAATCCGGCCAAAACAGTACGGAACAACCGTGTTTCTTCAGGAAAGGCAGCAGACGTTTATTCAAACACTCTTTCACGTAAATTTCTTGGTTGACAGTCCCGGAAGCTATGAAAATGCTGCTTTTCAAGCCACAGGTACAGATGGCTTGCCAAACCAAATATTTCTTTGCGAACTTTGACAGTTTCATGTGCTTGAAAACATCTGCTACCTTTCCCCTTCCTTTTGCCGTATAAAACTCCTGTCCCGGAAGCTGCTTGTAGTCGGCTTTGACGTAGGTTTCGTCGTCCATTATCACGCAGTCAAACTTCGTCAGCATCGTCGTGTACAGCCTCCGGGATCGCGCTTTGGCCGTCGTATTTTGTTTATCATCGCGATTTGGAGTCACTACCTTCTTGTAAGTCGATAGTCCGGCTCGTTTTTTGGCTCGATGCACGGTTGTAGACGATACACCCAGCTTATTTGCGGCATCTCGGAGAGAGAGGTTAGGGTTTCGCTTGAAACTACCGGCAACTCTCTTTGTCGTCTCAGCGGCTTCCGGTTTTCGATTTCCCCCCGATCCAGACTTCCTGGCTGTCGACAAACGTTCCCCAAACACTTTAATTACATTTGTAACGGTTGATTTGGCAACTTTTAGCGATTTTGCCAACTTTACGTGCGAGTAGCTCGGATTTTCGCGATGCACGAGCAAAATTTTGATACGCTGCTCTTTTTGCTTGGACGGCATTTTGACAACTGAAGAGTGAATTCCAAAATCAAAATAGGAGCAACATTCTACACACACACACCTTCAAAATGAGGGGTGTTCAGGTTTTTTAAATGCAAAATTGAAAGAAATACGTCAAGTTGATATTGACCAAATTTTGACCGTATCACCCTTTACACGTAGTACAATGACATAAACCGAGTTTGAGGGTTTAGCTCAAGAAGCTTCTCAAAGTTTGGAATCACCAGTGGGTTCATAACTTCACAACGGGTGAGAAGCCTGAGAGATAATTCCGAAAACCGATCAGAGAGTGGCAACATGCCTGCTAACACTTCGAGACTCATCGTATGAGTCGAGTGCATGCATCCTAACGCGATACGAAGACAGCGATACTGGATCCGTTCCAGTTTGATGATGTGCGTTTTAGCCGCCGATTGGAAGCAAAAACTACCGTACTCTAAAACCGATAAAATCGTTGTCCGGTACAACGTTAGAAGATCTTGCGGATGGGCTCCCCACCACGTTCCGGTAATTGTTCGGAGAAAATTGATCCTTTGTTGGCATTTCCGCTTCAGATACTCAATGTGGGATCTCCAGGTGCATTGTGAATCGAACCAGACCCCAAGATATTTGAAGGACATAGAATGAGTGATCGGTTTACCCAAAAGTTGAAGCTTTGGTTGTGCTGGGTTATGCTTCCTAGAAAAAACGACCAACTCAGTTTTCTCCGTGGAGAATTCGATACCTAGCTGGATAGCCCAAGTAGACAAATTGTCTAAGGTATCCTGTAAGGGTCCTTGCAGGTCGGCCTCTCTGGGTCCTGTCATAGACACTACTCCGTCATCTGCAAGTTGTCTCAACGTGCAGTTGTCCCTTAGACAATTGTCAATTTCTCTGACGTAGAAATTATACAGAAGGGGGCTTAAACATGAGCCCTGGGGGAGATCCATGTAGCTAAATCGTGAAGCTGTAGAGTTTCCATGAGAAAAGCTCATATGTTTCTCTGACAGCAAATTGTACAAAAAGTTATTAATTAATGGAGAAAGGCCACAAGCGTGGAGTTTGTCTGAAAGGACTTCAACCGATACTGAATCAAAAGCCCCCTTAATATCCAAGAAGACAGAAGCCATTTGCTCTTTTTTAGCAAAAGCCAACTGAATTTCAGTGGAAAGCAACGCGAGACAGTCGTTCGTTCCCTTGCCCCTACGGAAACCAAATTGAGTATCTGAGAGTAGGTGGTTCGTCTCAACCCATTTGTCCAAGCGAAAAAGAATCATTTTCTCCAACAATTTTCGAATGCACGATAACATCGCGATGGGACGATACGAATTATGATCTGAAGCGGGTTTTCCAGGCTTTTTAATGGCTATAACTCTCACTCGCCTCCAATCATCTGGAACAATATTAAACTCCAGGAACTGACAAAACAAGTTCAACATGCGCCTCTTAGCGACGTCTGGGAGGTTCTTCAACAAGTCGAACTTGATCCTATCAGCCCCCGGAGCCGAATTGCCACACGAAAGGAGCGCGAGTGAGAGCTCCAGCATTGAAAAAGGCTGGCTGATCTCGTCTACCGAATTCGTCGTTTCGCGAGGAATCATCTGTGCCGGCACAGAATCAGGACATAGTTTTCGCGCGAACTTGAGAATCCAACGATCTGAGTACTCCTCGCTCTCGTTGTTTGAAGACCGGTTACGCATCCTTCGCGCCGCATTCCAAAGCGTATTCATCGACGTTTCGCGCGATAATCCGTCCACGAATTGCCGCCAGTATCCGCGTTTCTTGGTTTTGATGAGGCTCTTGAGTTCGCGTTCAAGAGCCGAGTACGCTTCGAAATGTAGGGGTGTTCCACGTTTCCGGAAAAGCTTAAACGCGTCGGACTTTTTACGATAAACCTCAGT